TTACTCTCCGTAGATACCAGCTTCGCAACCGCGCAAAAACTCACAGGTGGAGCACGCCAAGTCTCCTATCCTTTAGCTCTTGACGCAGCGGTCCTGGTCTTGGCTCTGGTCTTTCTCCTCGTGGGCATCGTGATTTGCGGTTCAAAATACTGCGTGTGTCCTGGATTGCCAGATGAGTATTGAGAAGTGAACAATGCTCCGACATTCACAAAGGAAAGTATTTCATGCCACATGCATAGTTTGTTTTGGTTCTTAAGATACAAAGTCCATTGAGTCGGGAGGTCACCATAAACTTTGCGTCCCTGGGGGTTCATTCGACGAGTGCCCCTCTGTAGGGTCAGCCACCGAGCTAAGTGGCGTGGCTTGATCAGGATTTCTCCATGGAGGGTTTCTAGATGTTTTCTGTATGGAAGGTGTGTTTTGGATGATCAACTCTTATGGGGGCCCGAAAGGGTCGGTGCGGGATGTGATGTGACGTCATTGTTGAAGTGACTGTACAGTACCCCACGTCGCGGCAACGGACCGAGGCAAGGTGTTGACAGTTTCATGTCAATAGGAAAGGATGGCTTTGCGCATTAAGGCGCACTGATTACTCATCTCGCTGAATACATTGTATGTACGGATACTGTACATGGAAGAACCCTATTGTCAGCTTAGTCGGGGAGGAAAGATCCAGATTTGAGATAAGGTTCTGTATGTGCTTTTTGGTGTTTGTTTTGAGGTTTGTCTTTGACAAGTGAATATTCCTATTCCTATATAAGATGAGGGTTATTTGGTAGTATTCATGTATGGGCAGCAAGCAACCCGAGATCCTTGGGTAGACAATAGCAGAGAGCTTGACAACAGGTAAGTTGGTATTCACCACCTTTGTCTATAGAGACAATACCATATTCAATAACCCATACACATGACATCAAATTTTAAGACAATATCTTAACCACCAGGCCTTACTTCTGTAATCGAAATCATCCGATCAGATGCCCTTCTTCGAGGAGTGACCGTGATTCAGTTTGATTATCTGTACCGTATACTATGGAACAAGTCTTGGGATGCCATTCGGTAGGTAGGTTGAGTTCTTTCCAATGAGAAGTGCACCTTCCTCATATGAAAGGTTTGAGACTCACTCGTCCATGCAATCCTTTTTCTCAGTCTCGTACTCGATTTTCCCCAACTCACACCACACACTCTCTCATAACTTACCCCTCCACTACAGTCATCATATCGATTCAGTCACCATGTTCTATTTCATCACTCTGCTCACGCTCATCCTCACGTTGCTGCAGTCATTTGGACAAGCGGTGCCGCTGACCAGCTGCAACGATGAATACTGTGTCATGTCGCGTGCAGAATTGACACCTCTCGAGATACAACTCGAGCTGGGCCCACAACTCTGCGGATCCTCTTATATCTTTGGCCCGGATGATCCTCGATGGCCACAGCGAGTGATCCGGTTTCAGGAGTATATGGCCCCGCAATTCACAGTCTGGGTTCAGATTGGCTGTGAAGATGATATCTCTACAGTGGTAGGTGTTCTTATTTTCCCTTTCTTGCTGCCAAGATCTCTTGATTGAATTGGAACAGGTTCAATATGCCTATCAAAATGGCATTCCTTTCTACACGGTCAACCGCGCCTATGGACTGCCAAAATCGCAAGGGAAATTCCGGGGTATGGCCATTGACGTCCAGCGCTTGACCGACGTCGTGGTGGATCGAGAGAGGCAGATTGCGCGTGTATCGGCGGGAACAGGCACCCAGGATTTGATCGACACGCTGTGGGAAGAAGGCTATGTTACAGGTCTGTCACATTCTGTCTATGACGCCATCTGTTCAGGTGGCTAACCCGCCTTCTCCTTCAGTTACCGGAGCCAGCTCGTGTGCAGGCATCGTCGGCCAGGCTCTTGGAGCAGGCCACGGAAGGTACAAAACGCGCTATGGCCTGATGCTTGACAACATGGTTCGACTGAACGTCGTGCTGGGAAATGGAACTACACTTGTAGTCTCGGACGACAGCCATGAGGACCTGTTCTGGGCCATGAAGGGTGCCGGACATAATTTCGGCGTAGTGACCAGCTACGAGATGAAGATCTATCCGCATGAGGAGGATACTTGGTACTTTCGAAACTACGTGTTCACACAAGATAAGCTTGAGCCCTTTTTTGAGACACTGAACAAAGTAGTAGCTCGCAACGGGTCGCAACCGGTGGAGATGGACGTTGATTTTGGCCATTATGAATTCAACCCCTTGTTTAGCGACACTGATGTGAGCTGAGTATCTCTATTATACCTCTGACTCAGCTTCTGACGTCCACAAGGTGATCCTCTACTGGACCTTCAACTACGCTGGTCCGCAGATCGATGCAGAGAAGTACCTGGCTCCATTTGATGCTATCGGCCCGATCAATATCACCGATGGGACTGTGCCCTATCCTGACATGCCCCTGGCGTCAAGAAATGGTAACCTCGACTCAACTTGTGCGAAAGGATTTGCAAAGAAGGCATCTACGGTTGGGCTACAAGTCTACAACACATCGGCATGCCGCCAGGTCTATGATCTCTTCGATGCCAGGCTGAAGGAGTATCCGGAACTCCGGCCAGCATCTTTTGTCTTGTTCGAGGGATACTCCAATCAAGCTGTCAAGGCAATTGACCCAGCGACTTCGGCTTTTCCGCACCGCCATGATTATGTCAATCAGTACGGCCTTTCATTTCTCGTACTTGAGCTTGATATTACAAGAGGGTGAAAGCTGACATCATCGTCACCCAGGATTACCACAATAACACACGTTCCGGATCCCAGTCTTGATGCGCCGGCAATGCAGCTTGCTCATGATATTCGTAAACTCTTTATTGATGGCCAGCCAGACCGGCTACCCAGTGCCCATGTCGTTTATGCATTTGGTGACGAGCCCCTGGAACAAGTTTATGGATACGAGCCATGGCGCTTGGAGAAGCTTTGGGCTCTCAAGGCTATTTACGACCCGACCAATCAGTTCGCCTATCACGTCCCTCTTATCCCCCTAGAATAGAGGCTTGCAAAAGAACAGGATGCGCTCATTCTTACCGGTGATGTGAGATAAAGAGATTGAGTATTGTTATGATTATTCTTTACACTCACCATTGAGCTATTTTCAAGGCACTTTCAACGAAGTAGTAGTAGCTTGATAGTGCCCTGACTTCTCCTTCTAATTTGCATAGGCTGCGAGAGCATGAGCTGCAGCAATCGTCTACTCGAGTCGTTCTCATGTTCAATTTTACTTCATCATGCAGGAAATCACAACAGTTCAAAGCTAGTTTTGACCCAGATCTTTCATATCTAGGTGAAATATCTTCAAACTGACTAGGATGTGTGGTTTAAGCCTACTCTAGAGTTCAGATGATTTGATCCGAAGGTCAGATCGTTTACCCTACCCCTTGCTGTCGGTTAAGGGTCGGAGCTCGGGCCAGACTCTGGTATATTAGGATGCGCGAGGAGGGTCTCCAGGACACGGTTTGGCTCGCCAACTGTAAGGGAGAGGTTCAATCTCGGTTCTATCATGTCAATTTCCATGTGGCGACGGTGTTCATGCAGCTGCAGGTGGGTCAGCTAGAGTTCTCGACTTCCATGGGCGCTTGAATCACGGGATGGATTCAGGGAAATTGTCTCAAGTTTCAGAAGCATTGATGCGTCTAGACTACTTTGACAGACTAGTCTAGACTACGTCGATGTGAATTTGGACCTCATATTGATAGCGTTTAGGTATAGGATGCCATTCGTTGGATGACCGTGAGGATGGAAGATGTCTGGAACGATGTGCTCTCCTTGCAAGGCAATAGAATGTGCCTTGGACGCCGTAAAGAAAGTCATTTCTGCTCAACTAGTATTCATTACTATGCCCTCTGAGTGGCGAGCGGTGTGTGTACGGTGTATGTTGTATGTTTGAGTTGCTGGATTGCTCCCAGGTGGATGTCTTCTGTGTAGTCCTTCGTGATGGGGGGTAACGAGGATTTGCGAATCGTGGAGGTATCGTCTGCATTGAAGATACTGCTTATGTCTATCAAGAACCAATGGTTAGTGATGCGCCCAAATGAAGAGAAGTAAAAAGTGTCTTCCCTGAGACGGGCGGGTTTGACTTATCGCTTGTGTGCTTTTCACAGTCCCAAATCTCCTTCGGTTGTCTAGATTCATGACACTTTCTCGCAGAGATCATCGACTTTGCAATGGACGTCATCAAAATGAGAAACGGATGAGATGCTTAGGAAAGGATGGGCCGAGCTCAACAGCATAAGTGCTATAGCGATTGGTGGGCTCTCGGGGCGTGGTTATACTGTAGCAGCTATGGAGACTACGGTAGAAAGATGGCTGGAGGGACGAGGCCATGCCGCTTCCTCTCCGTCTCGGGTCTGTTCTTCCAATCTCATCTCTCTCCCGTCCTCTTCTCCGCTTCTCACTCCTCCCCGTCATCCCTCTACTCTTAAACTCCCAGCTCATTGTGAGAAACATCCATCATCATTGCATCGATATGATGAATGTGGCTATCCACAACATGCCTCCATTTACACAAGAAGGCCTGATCGCTAATTGACCTACAAGCATGGCTACAACGGTTTGCTTGGGCCAGAGCTAGAGGACCCCTTGGGAAGTATGGGGATCCTTGCAACGAGTGTCTCAGACTGAATTAACCTCATCAGATGCAAACGACCACTCCCATTGCTCCGCTGCCAGCATTCAAGACATCATGGGCTCACGGATAGCTCGATGATGTGGTTCCATACAGCTCTACCCATCCCATGTAACCGTCTACTTCGTCGCTGGCATGTCTCAAATATGGCCAAAGCTGGGTTGGCAACTTCAGTTGCACGGATAGGAGCTCACTGTTCTCCTTCGGGATACATCGGGACATCAATATCAGGAGATCTTTCACGTCCTCCTGATTCTGCTTCCATTCTCCATCCTCTTCTTTGCTGGACAGCTTACACTGACCAGAGCTCAAGTTGGTACATTTGATTCCTCCCCTAAGCAAGCATCTTCGTCGACATTGTTGCAACATTATGAAGTCTGGTTCCTACATCTGTCTACCTCTAAGTTCATATTCTGTCGTCTTTTACTCTCTGGCCCTTCTCTGTGCCCCAAAAGCCCTTCCAATCTCTCCTTCCGGTCACCCCCAGCCACGCTTAGGTTGTTCCGTTTATCTGCTTTCTCTGTTGGCCGACCAGCCCCATTCCTATAGTGACAGCGTCGGCCTCGGAGTCAATCTCGAATTGCTCATTTGTGGTACGTATTTGCTTTTCTTGTGCTTGGATGATGCAGATTAGTTGATCCTAACAATCTCAGCACATCATGACTCACCCGTCGGATCAGCACCCTGTTGAAAGGGACACGTATGCCCACGATCTTGAATTCGATACCAACGACCAGCCTCCAGAGAACGACCATGTCGCCGGCGATGGGAACGATGTGGAACATGGACCTGATTCAGCAGGAGCCACAGCAAGCTCCAGAAACCAGAATCTACGTCGCACTGCTCAAGCGTTCCCCGAAGACTTTGCTAGCCCGCAGACCATCTTTCGGGCTATTCAGACGTCCAAAGATATGGGCCACGCGAAGATGGCGGAGAATATACATGACCGACCATCTTCCTCCGTCACCTTTGAACGAAGACTGGTCAGGATCAAGGGACTGGAGGATGAAGTCGATTCGCTGCGAAATGAGCTTGAGAGTGTCAAGTATAGCTTGACCCTCATGCAAGAGGTAGTAAATGACTACGAATCTGATAACCACGTGACCCGCGCCGACCTTTCAAAGACGATGCTCAAGGTGAAAGCTGACAGCGATGATCGACATTTCGAGTCCCGAATGATCACAAATGAACTCCACAATCTCGGCAATGATTATCAAAGACTAACTCAGAGGATCGACTATCTCCAGAGACTCGTCAAGGACTACGAGAGGGACTGTTCCGGTGCCAAGCGCTACGCAAAAGCTCTCGAGGCGCGGATCGACAGGCTCGAAGCGAAAATAGGGACTCAGAAGAGTCCACACGCAGAGCATCGGCAGATCCCTGGGAGGGCCCTCGGTATGCGTCACATGTACCCCGACAATCTCGCGAGACTCCGAGGCGGCTTTTTCCGCGCTGAGGGGTGGGAGGACCGAGCAAGGGTGGGCAATGAGATAGCGCACGATGCGGATTTCCTCGCAGGCTTGGGGAATTCTCGGGAGAAGAATCGAGCGGGCGATGGCCTCTTTGAGAGTCGGTATGGACTTGCACCGCAGTGGAGCGAGGAAAGTAAGTATCCTCCTGTTTAATCACATCAGCCGTCATGATCAGGTGGGACTTAAGAAGACTTCTAGTACTTTTGGAGTATGAGTCCTTCGTCAAGGTTTTGAGTCTGTATGCCTCGGAACATTTGAAGAAAGTTGAAGTGAAGCTGAGTGAGGACTTGGAGAGGGCTCATAGTAAGGCGGTGGAACTCGCTAACAACAACAAGATGGAGGCGGAGAAGGTGTGCAAGAAGTACTTGGAAGAAAGGTCCAGGATTCAGGCGGCATTGTGAGTAGGACACGGACGGGTTTCAAGGTTGACGTTTCATATTTCTGCGTGGAGGATAACTTTGTCTTTTTTTTCTTGCACGTCAGATTGAGAGTTTCCTTGCTCGTCATTGTTCGGCAATAGGTTTAAGCGAATGCTATAGAAGAACAGTAAATCTAATGGGCCTAGACTGTCTCTCTCGTATTGAAGCAATCAGAGCCTGCTCCGCGTGCGAGAAATTGAATCTGCTGTTAGCTGGTCAGTGTTCTTTCTTGTAGGGGCCAATTCCTCGACTGACATGTACAGTACAGGACAACCTAAGCTCTCACTCTCATCATTACATAGAAACCACCCCCCCGCCCCCAACCTACAACTTTGCGTCCCGAATCACCGGAGTCCCAGAGGCTGGATCCAACATATTCCTCATCCGCATCCAGATGGCCTCACTCAACCGCCCCTGCGTCCAATACCCGTCCGTCCGCCCCTTCCACGTCACCATCACATCGTCCATCACCACCCCGCACGCTGTCAGCATCTGACAGAGCCCGATCTCCCCCTGCACCACCGCGGGCGTCCTGCCCTGCACCTCGAGCTCATACGCCGGCAGACTCGTTCACGCGGCGACGATCTCACAAGGCGGGGCGGTTTCTCCTAGGATGGAGAGAGATTCTTTTTCGATGTGATGAATCCTTATTTCACAATGGGATTAGGCCGGTTAAGTCTGTCTGGAGAAGGTCAAAAGCAGCATCCATGATGCTGATAAGATAACCGAGCGGCTCACCGGTGGCATCACACAGCGGGTCTTACACTGTAGAACAGAGTACGCACGCATCCTGAAGAAAGACGGCGTGGATGGTGAGCACATGCTGACGAAAAGCGCCCTTTCGCTGGTGGAGAAGGTCCTGCGGCTCTTCGGTCTCGTGGAGACGGGCAGTCGACGGACTCTCTTCGGAGTCCAGATCAACGGTCGGGAGAATCTTACGAAGGCGCTTGTTCGCTTCCTTTTTCATGCCAGATGTCCTCGATTCGTGGTTCTTCGGAGCGGAGGAGCCTCGTTCTCTGTTCAGCGCAGATTTGTGTGACCACTATCACTAATATAGTGCACGACATGTTAAGCAATGCCGATTGAAATTCTGACCAGACTGGCGAGAACTGTATGGCGTCTATCAGTAGCTTCAACCTCATGCCCATGGGCGGATACTCCGTCACCAGTGGTTGAGCAGCTGCGCGACAAGCATCTGGTTCGGGCCGACCTTGCACGACGAGGGTGAGACGCAATTCCAGCAGGCGGGCGAACGCCAGATCAAACGGGGAAAGATCCATTTGTTCCATGTGCTGATTCTGTTTCCAGTGCTTTGGCTCAATTCTCCAATGCACCTGAATCACACAGTAGCCTGGGGAGGGGGGGAAACAGAATAAGCAAAAAATCATGATAGGCAAGACCTATTCAGCTTTTAGGTGAGAGGTCAGGCGAGGATACAAGGTCTCGCTAATAGGCGACATTTCGTTATCAAATCGCCTTATCACATGAATTATGCTCTTGCTTTAGCGAACTATGATGGGAAGCCAGTAGAGGCTCTTCGATACTACTCGTTCGAACCCTTTTTCCCTGTTTTGCACCATTCCTTTTCTCCGGGAAGAGCAACGAAAAGCTCAGGTATGAGGTAGGCGCCACTGATACACATTTCCCTGGAAGAGGCATTTCGACGAGGGAGGTTTCACCCTTGCCTCGCAGGAAAGGCTAATCTTTGCGCAAAGGAATCAGGATCCATCGCCAAAATGAAGTGCGTGTGTATGTGCAGAGATAATCCAAAGAGCTGCTGCTATTGGTGGCTTGGAGTACCACACTTTATGCAGGGCTGTGATCGGGTTGTGGGTATGGCTGCAGAATATGCATGACCTATCACACGGAAACGCGGTTTTCTCCTCCATGTACGTAATAGGTTGCTCGTGTTCTGCTGCAACACCTGTGACTTTTGCACTAAGCAGGACAGCAGAAGAACTTGGTTTCTGATCTGATTCTATCAGAGCTAATCGAACATTAAACATGGATTTGCTGGGGCAGAGCACACCGTAGCTTCAATGCCTCATATGTAAAGGTCAATCTTGATAAGACGATTCGGATGACTATGTGACCTCAATTCCCTGTATATTGTCTATGGTCAAGTTCAGTCTGAGTCGGCAATGCGCTAGCTCAAGCTGAACGATACATCAGTCCATTCACACTCGAGACAGACACTGTGGGCCCCGGCGCCGGCCCGCACATGGCGGCTGAGATTGAGATCGAGAGCATCAGTGGTAGATCTTGCGCACAAGACTACACCAATCATCATGGGTTATAGAGAGTTTCATGAAGCCTTATCAAATCATGCGGCAGCTGGTGGTCTAAGACACCCTTGCTGAACACACGGGCCAAGGAAAGCATTGATGGTGTCGACCTAGGCAACCAATGAAGATGTCACAAAGAATGCAGCGAATGTGCCTATGTTGGCCCCAACGCCGGGTCAGTCATTGCTTCAATATCACGTATTTCAGAAGGTGGGCGATCAGCAGCTTCAGCGACGTAATAATATAAGGGAAAGACGATACTTATTTCTTGGCACGCGGAGTACAAGGCCGGGAGACTCCCTGTTTTCGAACAATCCATATTCAAGCATAATATGGCCAAATACTTTCGTCAGTTCTAGGCTCACAGCAACGTCAAGAGCACCTTCGCACACATCGCATGCCGCGTAGGTGGCCGTGCTGATGTAGACGACAAAAGTACAGATGCTGCGAATGTCTCGCTTAGCCCTAAGACGGCCCACTCACGAGATCACATGGATGTTCGCACGTTTTCTTCTATTCAGACCAATTGCGTGGGTTGCCCGAGTCATGACCCGACCCCGACTCCTGAATTAGCAAGATAATTGAAATTCTAGCGGCAATTGATACGATTGAAAGTTCGTCATGCGTCGCAAGCGACCGTGAACTATGTACCGTCAAATGTGCACAGACGCTCTCATGGATTAGGAACATCCTGCCGGTGGGTAGGGAATCGATTGCTGAGCGTTGCCGTCGATTTGTTCAGCTAATATGCCAACAGGGTTGGTACACATGCAGAAGCGAAAAAAAGCAATGATTTCGCTTAATGTCAAAGTGGAGGGATATGCTAATCTGCATTCTCAAGGGGTAGAGTAAGCAGCACGTAGAAGATCCACATGATAGCTGATCAATGCTTGGGGTCGTGTCGTCCTCGGCAGGAATCTCTCAGTCTTATCGATGCATGTCAGATTCAAGCGATGCCACATCGTCATGCACGCCTGTGACTGTGACTTTGTCGGTACGGCTATCTGGATTTTGGCCTATATCTGGGGAAAGGAACTCAGCCAGTACGATCTATTATTTAAACCCCCTGTCGTGATCGAGGTGATCCGGAATGTTCCTTTCCCGGAATATTTTGACGACAGATATTGACCACCAACGAGAAGTTTTGTCCTCTGAGCGTCCCGTATTTTCGACTGAATTGCCATTATGTGGAATGCATACGACAAGAAAGTACTCCTTATCACGGGGGGTACAGGGTTTCTGGGGACAACCCTCCTCTATCGCTTGCTCACTGAAGCAACTCCTGCTCGAGTTTACGTTCTCTGTCGCGGCGGTCGCAAGTAAGTGTGACCCTAGTAGTCCAATTAATCATCACCTAACACAATACCCAGGAGAGCATTTGAAAGATGGCTCGAGCACTTACCAATGCCAATCTTTCAGCCAGTTTTTCAGGCGGCAAACTCGATCGCTGTTCTCGACGGGGATATCACTCAACCTCGAATGGGTCTTTCAGAGTCAGACTGGAAGAACCTCGGAATATCAGTGCATATCGTTGTTCATGCAGCATCATCGATCAATCTAATGAGTAGACTTCCCGCAATGTCAAAGTCAATCATCATCCCCACCGTATCACTAGCAGGGCTAGCACTTGATTTTGTGAACCTCGAGCGCTTCGTCTATATCTCAAGTGCGTATTCCAACTCGCATCTCTGGAAGCCACAAGCCCCGGCTACGGATGTGGTTGTGAGAGAGAAAATTTACTCTCTTGGTGGGGACACGGAGGACTGGGCTCAATCCGCTCTGAAGGCATGGGAGGAAATTCAAGCTAGAGCCAGCAGCACTGAGTATGAGTCGCAAGACCTTTTCCCCTGGGCCTATGGATATGCCAAGCATCTCACCGAACGCCTGTTGGTCCATCGCTTTTCCGAAGCAGGCGCCTCAGATAAGTTGCTCATCATCCGACCGTCCATCATGGGCCCTGCGTGCGAGTTTCCTTTCCCCGGATTCTGCGTGCCATCATCCACACCATTTTTCACCGTGACAGCTATGATCATCCCTGATCCGGGACGTGAGATCGTCTTCAATTCTCGGCTCAAGGATCCTTACCACGAAGCCACACTGGATGAGGTTCCCATCGATGTGGTCGCCGACCGCCTGTGGGCTCATCTGGCTCTGGGCACCACGGAATTTGTGCATGCTGTTAGTGGGAAAGCCCACCGATGGCATTGCAGGGACTGGTGGCCGGTCATCATGAAGGAGCGAGTGCTGCCCTGGAAACCCAGAATGGTCTTTGAGCCCCTGGACTGGCAATCACCGAGGCAGCATCCGGCTGCTCGCCTGGGGGGTGTTGTCGGCACGTCGTTCGATTTCGTCGAGGATAAGACCCGGCTCCTCGCGGAGTTGCTGAGCACGCAAGATCATCAGCTCCGGCTCTTCACCAAGCCACGGGTTTTCTCCTTCGGTACGGCACGCGACTACATGCGCGCGCTGGTGCGGGCCAAAGCAGAGCGTAAGACGCCGTCGAAACTGCGAGCGAATCTATAGCAAGTGTAGTGTGATATATGTTCCGTCTTCCTTGGCGCCATCTTGAGGTGTTTCGCGTTTGTACGTATGCTGATGAGTCTGGAACACGGCGGAGTCTCATTCAGTATGTCAGGGAGGTACGGGCACGAATCTGCTTTGAGATATTGTTATTCTGGCGACCACAATGTATAAGATGTCATTATCGGAGAGTTTGTATATACTAATCTTCAAAGTCCGATAGTGAATGAGGATGGAAGTTCATGGTAGGTGTGTGTTGCTTCGGGAAACAGAGGCCTCGACGTCCGAGGATAGATTTGGGTTAGCCGATGGCTCCAACCCGCGCACTTCCTTCAATTTCTCCAACTGTGCATGGCAAGCTGGGAAAACCAGCTGTGATAATTGCCAATCCTTGCTACATGCCTTCAGGCTCTAGCCTATAGCTATCTGGCTACCATTGTTTGGTAGGTTGACAAGGCAATTCAAGGCAATGAATTGAAAACATTTTCTGGAGCTGACTTGAAATATGGGCCATAACAACATTAAAGACATAATCATCTCGCTAGATTCCAGTTTGCTTCGCGTTTTGCTTGTCTGTCTCGATCTTATTCAGGTGCTTATCCAAGCATTCCAATATTTGTCGACGTAACACTAAGGCATCAGATTTCTCAAGCTCCTGCAGCTTGCTGAACAAACGACCCCAGTCGACGTCCCGTCTCGTGACAGCCTGTATCTCGTAGAATAAATCAAGAGAAATTCTAGGACGCCAGAATGAAACCCCAAGGCGAACATCTAAAATCTTTTCTAGGCTTCTGGCCTCTTGTGGCGAAAGGTATTCAGCGACCATGTAGATTAGCTCAAACGGAAGAGCACAGAGTCCAGTCTGGTGGTCTACATGCTGGAGTGTATGTCGTAGATTCTTTGCCTTGCCTGCTGCCTGTTTTCTATACCACTCCGCTTCGTTGATTTCAGCATAGATCGTGTCAAAGACGGAAGATGTGTAGAAAGGGTCTGGTGTGGATGGGTGATCTATCGCGTGAATATCAAACATCAGTGATCAAGCAGCAACTATGAGCATCAAAAGGCAAGAAGCACTTTACCTTTCCCAGAAGCGAACGAGATCTGAAAGTCCATCCATTGGTGCTGAAAGGCTACCAACAGAGTAGACAAGTCCGTCTCAGCAAGCGCCTTTAAGCGATGGGTCTTGAGTAGTTCCCAACAGCAAGAGTGAACCACATAGCCGAAACACACTCTATCTCTCCGTCGCCCTCGACGATTCGGACGATTCCTCCGTGGTTTCCTAGGTAGACACTCCTTCATGAGGTGGAGTAGGGCTCTAAAGCAACTCAGGGGTACGTCGTCCGTGAACATCTCAGAGGCCCGGCTACAGGACACATAGCATCCACGGTGATGTGTATCGTTTATGACTGGATGCATATGTCACTCAATCAGTTCACGTAGAAAGGGTTTTCCTGTGCATCTGCCGGAGACACTAACTCAGCCGATACGTGTCTTTCCAGTTCATTTTCGTCGTGTGCGAACCGACAGCTTTCTTGAATTTACCATGTTTGCGCGGGATCATGTGGGCCAGGGCCAGGTTCTGAGAGTCGAAAGTCCAATACCCGCATATCAGGCAAAATATGTTGGCTACTCTGACCCTTAATTCGGTGTCCTCCCAGTCAGCGGTTGGGCCTGGCATAGGCTCAAACTTGAGGATTACCCCCATGTTGCCATGAGTGCCTGGAAGATGTTTGATTGTCAGAGCCAGGACGGTGAAGGCCCTTGTTGAGAAGAGGGAACTGTTCGTCTCATGGTGAAGTCAAGTAAGGGTGACGTGGAAGAGGAGAAGTGCTGGAGAAGTGTTCCGGACGGGGAACCTTTCAGTCGAGCCCAATCGGTAAGGCTGCATCGACTCTCGTCTCCATCTCCATCCCCCTCATGGCCAGAGAAGTCTAGGCCTCCAATCTTGTTCGCATGATAGTATTGACTTGAGAAGTACAATTGTTTCCGCACTTTCTATAGAAATTGAGCTGACCTTTCCTCATTTCCGGCAGTGATGTCCGCCCTACGTACTGTACTGTACCTCTTCAGCCGCCCTCGACGTCAACGTCTCCTATCCCAAGCCCAGCATCCCTACCGCCCACGCAGCAGCATTTGGACATACAAATAAGGACCTCGTGGTCAGATGACTGCAGATTATTCAGGGGTCCAAGATTTATTGGCCTCCACCAGCTTGTTCCACCCTCTCGGGACGGCACTTCACCGTACGGCCTGTGACGGATCTCATCCAGAAATGAGGATACAGGGTATCAGAGCTTCGGTTCCTCTCGACATAGAGCGGCGCGAATACTTCCAGACTACTAGTACATATAGATGGTCTTTGACCTTCCAAATAGCGTCGACGATCCCGCCTTGGACTCTCGCGATCTGCGACGATCCGCTATCGCGCTCTCGCCTGCATTTGCTCATCTCGGAATTTGAGGATCTCAACGTCCCGGTCGCGTTATCTCGCGTTATCCTGACGACAATCTCTTGCTCCTTTGCAATGAGATGCATTTATTTTGCCCAGACGTACGCGTCCCCCAAAGCCAACGGAACCACGTTGGCAGCTACCTCCGCTTAGGTGAGATTTTAAGTTTATCACTCCCGATTAATCAGCAATGGTGACAGCCTGGAGGCATTCATCGGATCCGTGTTTCATGGTTCCTGGAGCAAAATCTGAACGGTTGCCCATCGTCCCGGGGGGTCCAGCGCCCCGAGTGCCTTGCTTATGGGGAAAAATATGACGGGAGCTGAGGGATCCGATTTGAGCTGGTCTCGGTTGTGAGGCCTTCCGCCATCCGGGCCCACTTTGTGATCTCATTAGATTCACCACCTGCCAACGAGACGAACGATATGCTTTTCGGACCCATACTCTGGACTCCATAAGCCTAATATCCCAATCCCGATGAGAAACGGCCCCTTACAATAGGCTGCGATTACAATATCTAGACTTTCGGCTAGCATTCAGGGGAGATCCCGAACGTTCTCTGAATCTCAGACTCCGGTTCCCCATTGCTTATCAAGCATAGTAGGCTTTGCATAATCGATGCATACTTCGGTCAGATCAGTGTGAAAGCGACCGATTATGGCTGCCTGTTTCATTCTTTAAATCTAGAAAAGCTCCTCTTCTCCAATCTGCCTCTCGTCGCTATTCCACATGGTAGAACCAGTCCAATTCAACATGTCGATAGAAAAAGCGCCACTGGAGCCTGAGCTCCATGCAGACAACCAAGGGAGAAGCTTCCTTGAATCACAATCACAGTCGTGGTCTTCACCTTCCATATGTGCATCTGCATCAGGTCAACCTGAACGAAGAGAGACCGATCCAGCTCACGCCCATTCTATCTCTTCCACAAGCTCCACTACCGAAACCGAGGTCGAACACCACCAACCCAGAAATACCCACCGTGCATCGCTGAACCCGAACGACGAGGCCTACCTCACTAAACTTGTCAGCGCAGATCACAGCATTGCTCGAGTCAACACCCTAGCTAATATCCCCACGAACGACCCGGCACTCAATCCAGATAGCAAAGACTTCGATCTGTACAAATGGCTGCGGAAGATCTCACACTTGCTGAACGAGGGAGGAATCCAGCAAAAGGAAGCGGCCATCTACTTCGAGAACCTCCGAGTGTCAGGGACTGGATCGGCACTGCAACTTCAGCAAACTGTGTCAGACTTGATTACAGCGCCCCTGAGGCCACGTGAAACCTTCAATCTTGGTCCCAAGACCCCCAAGCAGATCCTACGGGGCTTTGATGGCGTGTTGGAGAGTGGAGAGTTGCTGCTGGTGCTGGGGCGCCCTGGGTCTGGCTGCAGTACATTTCTCAAGACGCTCTGTGGCGAGTTGAATGGACTGGACCTGGACCCCGCATCAGTGATCCACTACAGTGGTATTCCCCAGAAGACGATGATCAAGGAATTCAAGGGTGAAGTTCTCTACAACCAGGAAGGAGACAAACACTTCCCGCACCTGACCGTGGGACAGACGCTGGAGTTCGCAGCATCCGTTCGGACACCCTCAAAGCGTCTACAGGGCATGTCCCGAAAAGAGTATGCCACGATGATGACGAAGGTAGTGATGGCGGTGTTTGGCTTAAGCCACACGTACAACACCAAGGTGGGAAGCGACCACGTCCGCGGTGTATCGGGTGGTGAGCGAAAGCGTGTCAGTATTGCAGAAATGGCTGTCTCAGGAGCCCCCATCGCTGCGTGGGACAACTCGACTCGCGGTCTGGATTCAGCGACTGCGCTGAAATTTGTGCAAGCTTTACGACTGTCGGCCGATCTAGGATCGTCATTGCATGCGGTCGCTGCCTACCAAGCTAGCCAAGCGATCTATGATCTCTTCGACAAGACCGTGCTGCTCTACGAGGGACATCAAATCTACTACGGATCGGCCGCCAAGGCGAAGGCTTTCTTTGAGCGCCAGGGATGGTTCTGTCCTCCACGCCAAACGACCGGTGATTTCCTGACTTCCGTTACCAACCCGGTTGAGCGGCAGCCAATTCCTGGTATGGAGGCCCGAGTTCCCCGTACACCTCAAGAGTTCGAAACATACTGGCGTCAATCACCCGAGTATCAGGAACTTCAGAAGGAGATGGCTGCTCATCAGCAGCATGTTTCTTCCCGCTCGAATGAGAAGTTGCTGGAATTGCAGCAGCAGAAGCGTCAAGAACAAGCCAACCATACGCGGGCAGCTTCGCCATATCTTCTTAGTATTCCCATGCAGATCAAACTCAACACCATTCGAGCCTACCAGCGGGTTTGGAACGAGCGGACCTCGACAGTGACAACCGTGGTCGGAAACTGTATACTGGCTTTGATTATCGGTTCAGTTTTCTACGGCTCCCCTGTGTCTACTGCAGGGTTTTTCTCCAGGGGTGCAGTACTCTTCTATGCGGTGCTCCTGAACGCCCTCACGGCCATGACAGAAATCAACAGCCTGTACTCCCAGCGTCCCATTGTGGAAAAGCACGCGTCCTTCGCCTTCTATCACCCAGCCACGGAAGCCATTGCCGGCGTCTTGAGCGACATCCCGGTCAAATTCCTTCTCGCGGTGGTTTTCAACATTATTCTGTACTTTCTGAGTAATCTGCGCAGAGAGCCATCGCAGTTCTTCATATACTTCCTCATCAACTTCATCATTATGTTCGTGATGAGTGCTGTGTTCCGGACTATGGCTGCGATCACCAAGACTGTCTCCCAAGCCATGACCTTGGCCGGTATTCTGATTCTTGCCTTGGTCATCTACACAGGCTTCGTGGTTCCGGTGCCCAAAATGCATCCCTGGTTCGGATGGATTCACTACATCAACCCGATCTACTACGCGTTTGAAATTCTGGTTGCCAACGAGTTCCACGGACGCGAGTTTGCCTGCTCTGAATTCGTCCCCTCCTACCCGAACCTCGAAGGCGACTCTTTCGTGTGCTCGGCGACTGGGGCTGTTGCCGGTCGTCGGACTGTCAGCGGCGATGACTTCATTTGGGCTTCATACAGATACACTTACAGTCACGTCTGGCGGAACTTCGGCATCCTGATCGCATTCCTCATCGGTTTCTTGGCCATTTATTTCCTCGCCACCGAACTCAACTCCTCTGCCACCAGCACGGCCGAGGTTCTGCTGTTCCGCCGAGGACACGAGCCTGCTCACATGAAGCAGGAACAAGGGGCTAACGCTGATGAGGAATCCGGCCAACCTACCGCTACTTCAACCCAGAACCACACGCAGGACAATGTGAACGACAAGCAACAAGGTGGGGCCTTCTCTATCCCACCTCAGCGGGACATCTTCACCTGGAACAACATCGTCTACGATATCGAGATCAAGGGCGAACCGCGTCGACTGCTCGACCACGTGGCCGGTTGGGTCAAGCCAGGAACTCTGACAGCGCTGATGGGAGTCAGTGGTGCCGGCAAAACCACTCTTCTCGATGTCTTGGCTCACCGCACGACCATGGGTGTCATCACGGGCGACATGTTCGTCAGTGGTCGTTCCCTGGATTCGAGCTTCCCTCGCAAGACCGGTTACGTCCAGCAACAAGATCTGCACCTTGAGACCGCGACGGTCCGCGAGAGCTTAAGATTCAGTGCTATGCTCCGACAGCCGGACTCGGTCCCGATCGAGGAGAAATATGCTTACGTCGAAGAGGTCATCAAGATGCTGAACATGGAGGAATTCGCTGAAGCTGTTGTGGGTGTGCTCGGCGAAGGTCTCAACGTCGAGCAACGCAAGCTGTTGACCATCGGAGTGGAATTGGCCGCCAAACCGAAGCTCCTGCTGTTCTTGGACGAGCCAACCAGGTAAGCATTCATCCAACCAACCCCTTCAGCTACTATCTCAAACACATCTAACCATTCATCTATAGTGGTCTGGACTCCCAGAGCTCTTGGGCTATCTGCAGCTTCCTACGCAAACTGGCCGATGCCGGCCAAGCGATTCTCTGCACGATCCACCAACCCAGCGCTATCCTATTCCAGCAATTCGACCAGTTACTGTTCCTTGCCCGCGGCGGCAAAACCGTGTACTTCGGCCCGATCGGCGAGAACTCGCGGACGCTCCTGGACTACTTCGAAGCCAACGGCGCGCCGCGGCCCTGCGACGACGAGGAGAATCCGGCCGAATACATGCTCGAGATCGTCAACGCGGTCAGCAACAGGCACGGGGAGGACTGGTTCGAGGTGTGGAAACGGAGCCCGGAAGCCGCCGCCGTGCAGGCGGAACTCCACCGGATCCACGGCGCCGCCAGTAGTACCCAGGCTGGCGGACTCTCCGAGGCCGATGCGGATCCGCGGGAGCAGGCGGAATTCGCCATGCCGTTGACGAAGCAGCTGCCG